GAGAGAGAGAGAGAAAGAACGCGAAGGCATAAAACAGATTATATCCTTTTCTACGTACACATCTACCCCCACTCCTCGAATAAAGGCAAACGCTCGATCTAGGTATACTATGTCTATGATTGTGCTTACCCGATCGCGATTCGCATAGTCAGTAATCGTTACGCCGGCCATATTATTTTCGCGCCATATTTCCGTTCGAAGTTGAAGTGGGATTGCTCCGCGTTTTAAATCCTTTACCGGAAAAAATAAATCGCATAGAAAACAACAATATACATCAGGATGAGACATTGGATGAGACAGTGAGTAAAATTTTTTGCGGATTGTCGCGCTGGCCATTGTGATCCCGCGTCGTGTCGGAAAATGAAGTGCCGAAATCATATCGCGTTTCTTTTCCCGGAAGTTATTTTGTTTTCGTAATCGTTTGTTTTCGTCGCGTTTGCGGCATTTATTGAGAAAAAAATGAAGCGCCTGAATGGAAGCGAACAGATCGTCGGCTATGAGAGATCAAGGTAAGTGAGTAGCAATTAGTAGCATAGTACTTTGTTAAAATACTATTTCTCGCCTCAAATTGATTACTGGGTGTGTAGCACTCGGCGAAATGAGAAAGGATTCGACATTTTCTCGAAAATTTACAGCTGCTCGTTACGGCGGGGCATAAAGATAAGAGACCGCATACAAAGTTTGTTAGGAGGTTTATTTCTCGTCGGTCGTAATTGCTCAACGTAATTAACTGCAACGCTCCTTCTTTTCAAAAAAGGAAGAGAAATCAATTTTGCAACATTTTGCGTCAAAGAACTTACGTCGCGAATTTGCTGTTCGACGTAGCCGCGACAAACACAGAAATAAGACTGCATGAAGCGAAGTTTATTCACACACACACACACACACACACCTTTCCCTCTTTTCAGGTTAATCACTGACGGCACGGCGCGAGAATCAAAGGGAACGGGTGCGGCGAGCCCTATCCACACGGATTGTGTCAAAGGAACCAGCGGCTACAAAATTAACGCGATTAGGCTGCCGGTGGACTCGCTCGGGGGTAAGTAAAAAGAATGGCATCGAACGAGTCGACTAAATTTAGAAAGCCGAGGGTGAAGGCGCTTAACGAACCGGCAGAGGGTCGATATTTAGTTCCGCGCAATCTTCATCTTAGAGGCCGCGGCGGGCATTGAAAGGTTGGTCTGGTTTAAAGCACGTAATAAAACAGGCACATTGTGATAGGAGAGTCATTAAAGACATACAACGGTGCAGGTTGCGATATTTTTCTCTCGATATATTCCTCGCAGTAAATTATCAAGATTTGCAGTCAACGGCAACCCGTTAATTGTAACAGTCATTTGCAGAGTGTTTACCTAATGTACGTACAATATGTACGGACAGTGCGAGCACGTATGCGCTTTTAAATGTTATATATATTTCACGTCGTTTGTTTATGCAATTTTCTCTCACGTGCGTGTTAATAATAGTCACAAGTAATTTAACATCGCGATCTGTTGGAGGAACGAGCTCTGTTGCGCTCGTCGGTTAACTTTGCCTATAGATAACGTAATAGATGGATGAAGGTTTCATTACAAGTTTATCCCTGAAATTTAATTCGCCAGAGCCACTTGATTTTGAATGCTGAACGCAGCTCTGTAATTAGAAGACGTTAGACGATCCAAATTTCACGTTCAATATTGTCTTTCGTTATTATTACACGTATTACATTTCCGCACATTACGGGTTACAATATGCTTATACAGCCGCTTTTTTATTTATTACTTCTTATTACGTATTACGTTTCCGTGTTACATTCGAATTTCGGTATCGAGTACCATTTCATTAGTAAATTGCGCGACAGACTTGTGTACTGTTTCCGTCATCGTATTAAGGAAGTTAATTAATAGTCAAGAGTGTATGTATGCG